TTCGACTTCTTGTTGAAAACCGCAAGTCCAATTGCTTTGATATTACATATATAGGTACTACATGTGGACCTCTCTCAGATTTGTTCATTTTGTAATGATATCTTTAATTCTCTAATTTTGGTGAATATTTTTGTAATTTTTGGTAAAAAGTGATATTTTCGACTTCTTGTTGAAAACCGCAAGTCCAATTGCTTTGATATTACATATATAGGTACTACATGTGGACCTCTCTCAGATTTGTTCATTTTGTAATGATATCTTTAATTCTCTAATTTCGGTGAATATTTTTGTAATTTTTGGTAAAAAGTGATATTTTCGACTTCTTGTTGAAAACCGCAAGTCCAATTGCTTTGATATTACATATATAGGTACTACATGTGGACCTCTCTCAGATTTGTTCATTTCATGATGATATCTTTAATTCTCTAATTTTGATGAATATTTTTGTAATTTTTGGTAAAAAGTGATATTTTCGACTTCTTGTTGAAAACCGCAAGTCCAATTGCTTTGATATATTATACATATAGGTACTACATGTGGACCTCTCTCAAATTTGTTAATTTTCTAATGATATCTTCTGTTCTTTAATTGCCATGTGCATTGCTAACAGCGGAGCTATCTCAGCCGACAGGCTGCTTGTTTTTTCTATCCAATCATGGACAGAAATAGCCGAAAAGGGGAAAAGAACAGAAAAATGGTTTGGTTTGAGTGTAAATCTGTGCGTCAAATGAGGTGCATTTGTAAAATCTTTTTACACCCACCCGACAACCAACTGCTATGCAATACTACTGTCCGATTATCAATTTGCATTTAATAGTGAATGTAGTCTGACGCCATGACCAATATTTATCAATTAAGTTTCAGTGGGGGGTAGGGGGGTTTGGAAAAAAATTAAAGGAATTAAGTTTTTTATCCGTCATCGATCTTTTGACGTCGTCCCTTAATCTATTAAATGTTGTTTAGTCGAAATAGCAACTGTATTATGGGATGAGCTTCATGTCAGTTTGTAAGACCTTCTTGTAATTTTTTTTTTCAAAAGGCCTAAAGATGCCATGAAAGCAATGAAGAAAAGACTAATAGGAAGTAAAAAATGGAAAGAAGTTATGTTGACATTGACTGTAAGTATTCAAATTGCAATATATGTGGAAAAACTGTTATGTATTATTATTTTTTATAATCAGCAAATTTTTCAACATGTCCTAATTTTGTTCGATCATTTTCAGTCAAAGGATCTAAGTGTTTTTAATTAAAATTTATTGTTTTACACCCAAAATATGGCAGATATATGAAACCACCTAATTAGCAGATTTTTGCAATTTGGTCCACCTAAAGAACATGTGTGGCCATGAATCATCGCAAGTGATTATGTTTTGAAGGAAATGTTGCTTTTCTTATTTTTGACTCCCGTGTGCGAAGCACAAAAGGGAGTCTTTCCAGCTACCCTGTATGTCTGTCTGTCTGTCTGTCTGTCTGTCTGTCTGTCTGTCTGTCTGTCTGTATGTATGTCTATGTATGTATGTCACTTTTTTTGTTCGACCGTTATCTCAAGAACCACTAATCAAATTTCGATGAAACTTGGTACATAGATGCTCTGGGATATTGCGCAGAGTTGATTGAGTTTTGGTAAAATATCATGAATATTAATTACCTAATTTGCATAATAATTAGCTGATTTTTAGCTGTTCCATGACTGTTCCACTGATATCTGAAGAACCACTCATTGGATTTTGATGAAACTTATCACATGGATGCTCAGAACTAATGCGCAGATTTGATTAGTTTTGGGTAAAAACCATGAATATTAATTACCTAATTTGCATGATAATTAACTGATTTTAAGCTGTTCTAAGACTGTTATTTAAAGAACCACTCATTGGATTTTGATGAAACTTGGCACATGGATGCTCTGAACTAATGCAATTAGTTTTGGGTAAAAATCTGTTTACGTTAATTACCTAATTTGCATAATAATTATACAATTTTCCAATGATATCTCAAGTACTAATCATAACATTTCAATAAAACTTGGTAAATAGATGTCATATGACACTTCACAGACCTAATAGTTTTTAGGGTAATATCAGTACATATTAATTACCTAATTTGCATAATTAATTAATTTTCAGCTTTTCACCTGATATCTCAAGTACTAATCATCACATTTCAATGAGACTTGTGACATAGACCTTCTAGGACTATGCAGAGACCTGATTAATTTGTGGGTAAATAATTGTGCGTATCAATTATCTAATTTGCATAATTAGTTAATTTTTTGCTGTTGCACTGATGTCTAAAAAAACATAGACCTTCTAGGACTATGCAGAGACCTGATTAATTTGTGGGTAGATAATTGTGCATATCAATTATCTAATTTGCATAATTAGTTAATTTTTTGCTGTTGCACTGATGTCTAAAAAACCACTCATTGGATTTTAATGACACTTTTACAGAGTACTCATCATCAAATTTCAATGAACCTAGGACTATACACCATATTAGTTTTTGGTAAATATTTATGCTTCTTAATCACCTAATAACATAATTAATTAATACTGGTATCTCAAATACTGATCATCACATTTGATTAAAATTTGGTACATAAATGCTCTAGGACAATAGACAGCCTGATTAATTTTAGGTTAAAATCTGTTATATTAATTCTCTAATTAGCATAATAATCAATAATTTTTTTGTTCTAATCACATTTCAATGAACTTGGTACATAGATGTTACATTGTGTAGACTTTATTAGTTTTACACTTAAATCCGTTCATATTAGTTACCTTATTTGCATAAGCTTTTCGATCAATATCTCAAGTTCAAGTAATTTTTGATTAATTGTTAATGTGTCTCCAATACTCTCTCAGCACACGGGAGTTCTTTCTAAGCTTTCTTTGATTACTCTATAAATTCAACCAGTTAAAACTTTCAACATGATTCAAATTTAAATACATGAAATCATTCAATACATTCATATGATATATTGGTATTATTTTGGTAACTTTTCACAAATTGTTTTTTTGACAAAAAAAAAATAGAAGGTTCAAATTAGATAATTTCCTTATTGACAAAGGTTAACAAGGGAAGTTACAGTTTATAAGTACCCTGTTAACTGCATATCACATGATAGAGCTAAATAGTTCAGTTGTTATCATAACATGTGGTGGTGGTAATGGTCAGCCTGTACTGCTTTCAAATTTTGTGTGAACAGACAATGCATTTCTCAGTTTATTAGTCACGTGGGACCCATAACGAACATGTCATGTATTTCTCAGTGTATGTGTCACATGGAACCCATAACGAACATGTCATGTATTTCTCAGTGTAATATACGTCACATGGGACCCATAACGAACATGTCATGTATTTCTCAGTGTATGCGTCACATGGGACCCATAATGAACATGTTGTATCCCTCTGCATTTTAGATTTGTAATTGATACTCCAATAAAACTATGAATGATTCAGCTTCTTGTAAACTAATATATTCATAAATAATGAGCTCAACACTCTAAGGATTAGTTTGTTTTTGCAGCTAAACATTTGACTTG